ACTTTGAGAGTCACTGCTTAGCAGACAGTCATCTTGGTCAACTCTTAGGTCGAATGTTTGAAAGAAGAGATTTCCGTAGTAATTTCAGCTTTACTTTCTTTGAAGATTAGACACTAGAGGGCGGTGTGACCACAGCACACACACTTAAATCGAGCCTAGTGATTTCCAACTAGTCTAAACTACTGCTTCAGCCCAGGCATCTTTGATTTTAACTGTTTTGTTTATTGATGTTTCACATTGGAATATATATGTAAGAAAAGTTCTGCTGCTAAAAATAACTTTAAAAGCTGTGCTCTCTCCAGTCCCTTCTTTGTAAAGTCATAGATCCTGTTATCTGGAGAGCTGGGGCTCTGGGGGGAGTGTGTGTGATTTTATGTCCCATTATTCAGACAATTTTATTTTATTTTTTTAATTTTTTTTAAAATTAATTTTTATTGGAGTAGAGTTGACTTACAATGTTGTGTTTCTGCTGTACGACAAAGTGAATCAGTTACACATATACATATATCCACTCTTTTTTGTTTTCTATTCCCATACAGATTATTGAGTAGAGTTCCCTGTGCTATACAGCAGGCAGGCCCTTATTAGTTATCTATCTTATATATAGTAGTGTATATATGTCAATCCCAATCTCCCAGTTTATCCCTCCCTGGCGCCTTTCCCCCTTGGTAACCGTAAGTTTGTTTTCTACAACTGTGACTCTATTTCTGTTTTGTAAATAAGTTCATTTGTACCATTTTTTTAGATTCCACATATAAGTGATATCATATGATATCTAATTCAGACAACTTTAGAATTGAAGTATGAGTTAGCTCTTTGAGGCTAGCATTTCTAAAAGTGCTTTCAATGAACCCAAGTTCAATTAACAATGGAAATAGGGTTTTGAGACCAAGTAAGTTCGGAAACATTGGGTTAAATAAAGTTATACAGGTTCCTTTACTGGAATGTTCCTCAGAGCCTTTATTTGTCAACTGGAAACCACTGTGAGGGGGTTGTAGAATGCAGGGTGCCTGTGGGTATTTGGACAGGAATCAATGATCTGGTCCTAATCCTTCATCTTTTCCAGAAGGAATCAGAAACCAGTAGATAAAATGACTGCTGGGCAGGGACTTTCCACAGGATCAAACACCTACAGGACTACGTGCAGTGACAGTACCCAGCCCAGTCACATGCAACTCCCTGCGGGCCCTTAGGTATTCATTTCCGCTTGTTGGAATATCTTTCCTCCAGGTACCTGCAGGCCATGCCCCATCCCTTGGTACAAACTGTGTTCGAATGTCTCTTATCAGAGACAACTTCTCAGACCACCCTGTTCAATATGGCCCTTCTGATGTCATCCTCTGTTTTCTTGCCTTGCTTTGTCACCACTTGTTATATATTAATATGCTTAATCGTTTTTATCTGTTTATTCCTTCTAAAATAGAAGTGCCATAACGGAAGGGGTTTTTTAAATTGAAGTATAGTTGATTTATAATATGTGTTAATTTCAGGTGTACAGCTAATGACTCAGTTTATATACATATATGTATAATCTTTTAAAGATTCTTTCCCATTATAGGTTATTATAAGATGTTGAATATAGTTCCCTGTGCTTTACAGTAAATCCTTGTTGTTTAACAGAAGGGACTTTATCCATCTTGGTGTCTGCTATATTCCTAAGTAGATGCTTATTAACCTTTTTTGGATAAATTTACTAATGCTATCCAAGTATATAAGATTGATTATTGTATCAGTCAGGGTTCTCAGAAACAGAACCAATAGGAGTTCAATATTATGTGTTAAATGTGTTAAAATGGTAAAAACTGGAGTGCTTTATGAAATAGTTCTAACAGGATCCAGATAATCTGAACACTCTTTAAATTTATAAGAAAATTTCCACTTGCATTTCTGGGGTTAAAAGTCCAATATCTAACACTTTTTAGTTTAATGGTATTTTATTTTTATACCATCTGGTTATGTTAGAGAATATTCTTACAGGCTTCAGGAAGTTTGAATTTAAATATTTTTAAGATAATGGGTATTTACATTTATGTAAAGGCATTTCTGAGAAGGAAGTCTACACCGGGTTTGACTGGGATTAAAAATAATGTTGTAACCAGTGTTATTTCAATGAAAATAAAATAAAAATAGCAGGATGGGGCTTCCCTGGTGGCGCAGTGGTTGAGAGTCCGCCTGCCGATGCAGGGGACACGGGTTCGTGCCCCGGTCCGGGAAGATCCCACATGCCGCGGAGCGGCTGGGCCCGTGAGCCATGGCCGTTGAGCCTGCGCGTCCGGAGCCTGTGCTCCGCAATGGGAGAGACCACAACAGTGAGAGGCCCGCGTACCGCAAAAAAAATATATATATATATAGCAGGATGAACGTAAGGAAAGTATACAGTTGGAAATAATTAAAAGCAGAAGTTAACAAACAGAAAATAAAGAGATGACGAAGGATTAAGAACTCATTGTGACTTAATGGGTGGCCTTAAAAGACAATGTGTTCAAGAAAATCTGCACCAAATTTTTCAATAAATGTACAGCTTTCTTAAAAGAAAAGATAACTGCCTTGGAGAACACTGGTCATTTAAAAACCTTCCCCTCTCGGAACGTCACAGGAGTGCCTCGAATTGGCAGACTGACCTGCAGCCCTACAGGGAAGTGAACCCAGGCAAATGTCTTTCCAGGCTTCTCCGATGCAGGAGGGAGGGGCCCCCGGAAGGTGGTGGTGGTGATGGTAGTGATGATGCCGAGTTGCCAACAAACAAGGAAGCACAGGATCTTTCCAAGTTGTTTTTGAGGTGAACTGCCTTACAGGGATAAGGTCTACCTTGCCCGCCATGCTGAGTCTCAGAGGGCTTTATCTTTTCTCCTTGAATCACAAGACCCCTCCCACACTTCTCCTGCTGACCATGAGGTAATAGAGTAATAGAATTGAGGAGTGGAGGGGTGTGTGTGTGTGTGTGTGTGTGTGGTCTCCGAAATAAAAGAAAGCTTGAAAATAGATGTGGTGTGTCAAAGAATTCACCTGTTAAATACCTGGCTTCTGGTATTAGCTGGAGCAATCCTGTCTACATGAGAGATGAAATTACCTTTATAAATGCATTTACACTAACTTGCTAGTGACAGTCAATTAGTCCTCTGGTAATTTTGCTTTGAAAGGAGATTAGAGATAATGTTCACCGTGAAAAATGATACTCACCTGAAAAAAGAATGAGGGAGTTCCAGCTCTCAGCAGAAGAGCTTTGGGAGGGATGGACCTTCCAGGTCACCCTGTATTGTTCACCACCCACTCTACCCTTTTACAAGCTGGGTCCACATGAAGATGCCTTATTTGGGGACCTATTAGATGAACTGACCTCTTCTTTGAGGTAAAATAAATACTGATCCAATTTATATCAACAAAGCTCTTACTTAGAGTAGGTGGCAATGACAGTCAGAAACAGGATTATGTCACTAGAGAACAATAATGACAATGAAAAAAACTTGCCAATGATTAAGTGGAGGTGACTGCTTTCCATCTACCTCTACTTCACAGAAAGTAGGGAGTTGCTCTTCTATGCAGGATGCTTCTGGGGTTTTCCAGGTCTTTCTTGTGTAAGTAACTGATGAGTCATTGATGAGCCTTACTGGAATCATCTCTTTTCTGTGCTTCTGGAAGCCCAGTCTCTTCTTTTGTCCATTATATTTCTATCTATTCTGATCATGAGTTGTTTGCCCAAGTCCAAGGTTGAACTTTGAGCTGAACTTCTTGTCTTTTCTTCTCCATGTCTCTCATGGACCTACGACTATTTCTGCTGTCCTGGAGATGCTGAAAGTCTGTCTTTTCTCATCTTTTTGTCGATTCTAGCATTCTTGCCCTCTGAATTTGGCTTGAGAAAATCAGAAAGAAACCTAATAGAAAAAACGTAATCTCCCACTTTGATGGGGATGGGAGAGGACCAGAGCCTCCTTGAAGAGAGGAGAGGATGAATAGGAAAAGGTGCCAGGATCAGGCAGAAATAGAGGAAGATGATCTTGAGGAAGAAGGGAGATGGAAGTTATTTTGCCCAATTGATAAGGAGACCAATAATGTTGCCAGCGTTGTTCAGGTTCTTGAATTCAAATACCAGCTTCGCCCTTTTCTAGCTGTGCTTTTGGGCTTTTAACATGTGATAACTGATCTTCTCCTTGCTCCTCATTGCTGCTCCAGTTATTCCCAACCTCCTTAAGAAAATATCAACAAGCTCATTTTCTGGTAACTCATTTAACTTGACCACTTTCTCCTAGTTGCTGGTATCTGTGGACCTCCTGACCACTTTTCCTTAGTCATCAACCTCTTTGGCATCAACTCTTCATCCCAAGTCCTGCTATTATCTTGCAGTTCTTCAACAGCCACATGAAAATGTATCTTGTCTTTCCAGTTCCTTGAACTTCTTATTTCCAAAGACCTCTTTCTTCATTCTACTTCAGCTGTCCATTCTCATGGCCACACCCTATTCCCCGTGAATTAGAGAATTCGGTCATCTGGCTCTGACTACACTCATCTCTTCTGGCTTATTACTCGATCAACTAGTTCCATTGCACCATTCTTCATCAAGATACCTCTATCCTCCTTCCAATCTCCCAGGCTTCTCCTTTCTTTCTTTTCCTTATTATTTCTATAATAATCATACCAATGCCCTAAATTCCCTTGCCTGTAAATGTTTTGATCACACCTGTGTGGAAAAACCCCAGTTCTGGGGTTTTTACAGAGCCCATTTCTTAGTTGGTGATTTTACATTCGTTATTGTGTCTATTGGATTAATAGCTGAGTTCTCCCTTAGGCTGTAAGCTCCATGACATCAGGGATTATGTGTGTTATTTTATTTGCAAGTTTATTTGCAGTGCCTAGGAAATGGTCTGGTAGAGTATGGGCTTAATAAATATTTTTTAAATGAATGGAAAATCTACTGAGCCCCAATTGCCTCATTTTTTAAAGTAGGGATCGTAATATAGGCTTCAGAGTAAGGCTGGTGAAGATTAACTGAGATCTGTGCATGTAAGGAACCCAACACAGTATCTGGCATAAATTTACTGCTCAATATAGTTTTCGTTCAATCTTTTTCCTTCTTCCCCCTTTTTCTTCCTCCCATTTTATAACTAGCATCTGTTTACCTGCCTGCCTGAGTGTGTGGGTGCTCTGTGGTGCAGACCCTGGTCTTGGCGGATGAAAACAATGAGTAGTGGCCTAGGGAGGGGCGGAGGGCTCATTGTTGACCTCTGGGGAGGTTCAGAGGCTCCCTTAGCCTATATTTCTCCAGACCCTTGACCACGTCCACTGTGCCTAGAGCAGGTGTTTCTGCCAGAGGGAAGTGACAGGAAGACCGTTTGCTCAGACCAGCCAACAGACCTTTGATCTTGGGAGGATGGGCAGAGAGGCCAGAGTCCGGGACTGCCGAGAAGAGCTGAGGTTTTCAGCAGTCATCAGAGGATTCCTTGGTAAGAAGCAATTTTATTGGCTTTGACCTTCAACCCCAGCTCTGAGTTCTGCTGGGAGGCTTCTGAGCCTGAATCCTGCCTCTCAAATGCTCAGATGTGGGCACTCCTCCAATTCTACCTTTATTCCAATGTTTGGGTGACTGTCCCAGTTGATTCATTTATGTGCCGGCCTTATCCTTTGATTCTCTCACACACGGGCCATTTACCAGGACTGTAATGAATAGCTTTTAGCATTGTATTCACTTGGGGAACTTGGTAAAAATATAAAGGTCCTGATCTTATCTCTATAGCTTCTGATTGAATAGATAAAGTTTGAAGTCCAAGAATCTGCACATTTACAAAGCAGTAGTTTTACTGATGGAGTGGTCACAGTTTGTAGCAGCAGACCAAGGGACACTGCATTTCATCCTCTCCATTGGCCCAGGTCTCCCAAAGACAACCCCCTGAGGTATGTACGAGGATGGCCATTCACAAAGGTAGGAGGTGAGTTTATTACAACTATTGTACTTCGCGTTTTCCCCATATCTCATGGAGATCCTAGAGTGCCCTTCCAAGAAGAGGTACTAGAATCTCCTATGTGCAATTTTCAGCTTCTACTCTGTGATTCTTCTGTTTCTGATGTGCTCCACCCCTAAGCTGAGGCCCACTCTGGTGCCCCTGCCCAGATCGCTTTCCCAGAAAGGGATCACCTGAGTGTCAGGTCTGCATGCTGTCCTGGTTTAGTGCTGCACAAAGTGGTATGGCAGGGCTACACTGGCTAAAGGAGACATGCACTCTTCAGCCCACAAAAGACTTCTACCACCTACACACCTCCTGGAAGTCCCTCAAGTAAAATACGACTTGTCTTCTTCTAAAACCTCTTTAATTTTAATAACCGCCTATACATATGGCTTCTAGCAACTAATTCAGTCTGCTTGTCCCTGTCCGTCCACATTTCTTGAGATTCTGAGCATTCGGCTTGTCTTCCAAGTACGCAGTTGTCCATCAAAACCAAATCAATTCTGGGAATTCCCTGGCGGTCCAGTGGTTAGGACTTGGTGCTTTCGCTGCTGTGGGCCCGGGTTCAATCCCTAGTTGAGGAACTAAGATCCTGCAAGCCGTGAGGTGTGGCAAAAAAAACAAAACCCAAAAAAACCCCCAAATCAATTCTTCCTAACGAATACTATCAACAAGCTCATAAAAGTAACACTGCTGGTAATTGCCTTTTTTTTTTTTTTTTTACTTAATTCCTACTTGGACAGCTATTTATACCACTTGCTTTCCATGCCTTGTCTCTAATCCTTTGAAAAATTTGCAAAGTAGCTATTATCTCCATTCGGTGGATGAGAAAACAGAAATTCAGAGACAGATAATGTGGCTTGCCCAGGGTCATAGAATTTTAGAATCCAGTTCTGTAAGTATGTAAAGCCTGAACTGTTTTTTTTTTTTTTTCCCTACTGGGTTAGGACATGATGATCTCAGTTTCTTTCTCTTATCCCTTTCAGGCTGATACACAAGCTTGTTTACTTCCTCTGTCCTTGCTGTATACTCCTAGAGATTGAACCTGGGATGAGTTCCCAATCTAAGATTGTCATCTAAAATGATGAGTATCATCAATGTTCATGTATCACCCCAACTGATAAGACGTGGAGCATGCGTTCTTGAGATTATTTCAGTGGACATTTATAGAAGATCTTCTTTGACTAGTTTAAGCACCCCATCCCCCAAAGCTGTTCCTTATACCAAAGTGATACTTGACTATACTGCTGGTGACATCTACCAATTGTCAGGCTTTTAGTGGTAAGACAGTTAATTACCATCTGGAAAGGTTCCTAAATTGAAAGTTCAGATGAAAGGGAAGGAGCATTTACACTGAGAGCCGCCTGTGTCTGTGAGGCCTGGGGATGCAGGAAGGGGGAAGACCTCTTTTCTTCCCTTCCCCCAGGACCCCTGTTCCAGTCCGCTGCTGGTGCTACTAACAGAGTTTCGGAGGTTGCTTCGAAAATGTTTTGCCTTTATTATTGCACCTAATGGTATATAATTTTGAGTATATGTTGCAGACCCTCTCCAACCTATGGCGGATTACAAGATCAATGACATTTAAATCATTATTTGACTCATGTAAAGACCTTCTCCCTAACAAACCCAATGAGGAGTAGAAATAAGAATTCATACAAATTGCTATTTTGCTATTGCCCTCTCTGTTCTGATGTAACAGTTTTTCTTCCCTCTGGAATGAATAAGTTTTCCGTACTATATTTTATTGTATTAAGATCAAGCAAGAGTGGTTTGATATTTGGTGAAACCAACGTCTGAAGCAAAAGCTAGAAAGATGCTTTTCATCAGCTGCCTCTTCCAGCAGGTTAAGTCAGGCTTGTCTGGGCTTTACCTTTGTGGTCTTGGAACAGAAGGCTTTCCACAAAGGGAGAGTGCTAGCCGAATAGAAGCAGAATTAACAAGGTGAATGTGGAGTTCTGTACTCTGCTCCATTGGAACACAAAGGCCAGCCGCAGTCAGTCATGATCTCAAAGTTCCCATCTATAGGGCAGATGGGATAACACTTGCCACAAATCTTTATTGAGCAATACGTCAGAGTTCCATTACCACAGGTTAATGAAATGTCTGCAGTTGCGTTGGAGAGAATTGATTTTTCCTTGTATTAAAAATAAATTACTACTATTATATCAACAACTTCTTGAAGAAGTTAAGTTTTTGGATTTTCTCAGCACCTAATTTTGTTAGTGACCAGAAGAACAGTCGCATTCTTACTATTTCACTAGCTTCATATGTTAATCTTATGCCATAGGGCTTTTCTAAAGTCACAGTTTTCTTCCTGGAACATTTAATTCGGTTGAACTTTTAGAAGTCTGCACACTTGTCCTTTTCCTCTATGACATTTTATTAATTCCTATCTCCAAAGTTGGTTGTGTTTTTTCCTCTACCATTTTCTTTGATAAAGTCCTCCTTCCAGGATCGCAAAAGCATTTTGGTCTTTTAGGATTAAAATTTAGACATCTACCTCCTTTTACTGCAATTATCAGTGTGCTGCCTTATTTTTCCTGTTATAACACTTACAACCTGTTCTTTTTGCCGGCCTCCCCCTGCGGTGGGCCCTCCCGTTGCGGAGCAACAGGCTCCGGACGCGCAGGCTCAGCGACCAATGCTCACCGGCCCAGCCGCTCCGCAGCATGTGGGACCTTCCCGGACCGGGGCACGAACCCGTGTCCCCTGCATCGGCAGGCGGACTCCCAACCACTGTGCCACCAGGGAAGCCCACTACGTGTTTTCGAATCACCTCCTTTAAGACATTTGCATTGGCTCCAGGCCAGCATTCCTCTGTCTGAACATGGGTATAGCTCATGGCTGTACAGGGCTAGATGTTTGCCTGTCAGCACTATGGATTTTATATAATGGCCCTGAAGCCCACAAACATTCTTAGGTTTGGTCAGCTGTCTTTATACAGCCATCCCTCGGTATCTGTAGGGAACTGATTCCAGGACCCCCTTGGTTACCAAAATCCACAGATGCTCAAGTCCCTATATAAAATGGCATAACTTTTGCATAGAACCTACAAACATCCTCCTGTATGCTTTAAATCATCTCTAGAGTACTTATATATCGAATACAATGTAAATGCTATATAAATAGTGACCAAGGAGTGGCAAATTCAGGTTTTGCTTTTTGGAACTTTTTGGAATTTTCTTTTTTGGCCTCACCACATGGCATGTGGGATTTTTTTTTTCTTTTTGGAATTTTTTTCGAATATTTTCGCTCTGAGGTTGGTTGAATCTGCAGATGTGAAACCCTCAGATATGAAGGATCGACTGTAATCATTTTGAAAGATCTGAAAGAGAAATGACATTCATGAAGAAAACAAAAAGGAACAACAGTGTTGCCAAGATTCCAATTTGTGCAAAGTAGAAGGGAACAGGATGTGGGATGTACATTCCGCCAAATACACTTAAGAATTTGCTTTGGGGAATTTTAGCCTCCCCTTGCCCTTCAAGATTCATCCCTTATCTTTCTGGGTCATCCTGGGAGAGAGACTCAAACGCAGTACCTCTAATAATAGTGTCTGTGGAGTGGACACAGCCAAATGCCCCAATATTCTTTCACTCCTCCCCTCCTTTTTAATTCCAAAGGTCTAGAGAAGCTAAGCTGGGGATAAGAAATTTGTAAATGATTGATTTTCATTGCCCCAAATGCCCACCTTATTTTGGCAACAATGTTTTACACCCTTCTTCATAACCCACTATTTCCTTATACTGTCCCCAGAATAAACTCTGACAATAAAGTTATAGATTGGGGGCTGGGGGTAGGGACTACAAAAATTGAATACCTAAAAATGGAAATTTAAGGATTTAGTTGAACTTCATATACATTCAAATAAAATAAATTTCTAATTTACTCCTAGTGTTAAAGCAAGGAAAATCCCCCGTCCATTTAGATAAAGCCATCATATGATGTCCTAATCTGGGCCAAGATCTAATCAGGTCCAGTTGAAGCAGAAGAGAATGCTAAGGGAAGAGAAGAGACCTGTTGGATTTCTATTTCTCTGCTGAAAATAGGACAATGGAAGGTGGTTCTGATTAAGGCAGGACCTAGAACAATGACTGGTTCATATCAAGCACTCCATTTATTACTAGTACATAAAAGTTCTTACTTTCGATGGGTTCTTCTCCAGAGCAATTCAGTATTTTCAACCTCAAGCAGACCGTCTCCTTTCAAGACCTCTAATTTTCCCATTAGTGCAGTGACAATAGTTTCCAAAACCCAAACTACTGCTCTGCTACGTGATTACTCAGTACAGTGAGATATTTGAAACTTTGACTGTCCTAGAAAAATGCTAACAGTGTGGTCTCTGAGTCAAAACTTGGGTAGCTCGAGAAAACGTGTATGCCTGAACATCTCACATTTAGAGAAATAATCATTAACAGTAATATTAGCCAAGACTTACCCAGGGCTTACTGTGTCCTGGGCCCTCTTGGGTACATGACATGTATGTCTTAACCCATTTAATCCTCACAGCAATCTTATGATGTAAGACCATTCTTGTCCCCATTTTGTAGGTGAGAAAACTGAGTTACAAAAATGTTAAGTATCTTTCCCCAAGTCATTCAGTGCACAGGGATGGGAAGCTGGGCAGGTTGACTGCACAAATAAAACAAATCCCCCTGAAGCTCCATCAGAATACCATATCAAATCACCTGATTCCCTCTTCTGTCGTCAAGGAAGACAGGAGGTTGGCAAATGGATGGAGTTACCTTTTCTCAATTCTGCCTGTTTTGATTCCTTTCTGGATGAGTTCTTATTTCTGCTTCTCCTGCTCCCAGTATCCTTGATTGCCCAGCTTCTGAGACCCCCATAGCCAGCCCCCCTTCACTGCTAAACTGTAACGGCATAGTCTGGGCACCGATGCACACACCCGGCTGAAGTCAACTTCTTTTGTAAATTCACACAAAAACTTGATTCTTGGGTCCAGTTCTTTCTGGAAATACGGGTAGCTGGGGAAAAAAGCATAAACCAAGATTTCCCCCAGACTGATATGATCAAAGAAACCTAATTCAGAATTTCTTTGGAATTTTGTGTTCAGCGGCCTAAAGTCTCCTAGAACCTCAGATTTAGAAAAGATTTCCAGGGTAGCTTCCCGCCCAGAGTCACTGCCACCAGAATACTCCCCCCACCTCCCCGTCCCCCCGTGATGTTTTTCCAGCCTCTGCAAAACAAAGGGACACGGAATGGTGGGGTTAGAATGTTGTTGCTTTTTTACTTTTCAGTTGAATATGAGGTATTTTGACATATAGGGAAGAATTTGTGCATCGTGGAGAACTAGACATTATCTAGACTCTAGCGCAGGGGTCCCCAACCCCCGGGCCGCAGACTGGTACCGGTCCATGGCCTGTTAGGAACCAGGCTGCACAACAGGAGGTGAGCGGCGGACGAGCGAGAGAGGGAAGCTTCATCTGCCGCTCCCCATCGCTCCCCATCGCTCACGTTACCGCCCGAACCATCCCCCCACCTCCATGCTCCGTGGAAAAATTGTCTTCCACAAAACCGGTCCCTGGTGCCAGAAAGGTTGGGGACCGCTACTCTAGAGCACATGCCTTCCAGTTACCTGATTCTAGCCTTTCACTGCCACGTGGGCTATTTCACAGAGCTGTATATTGTAGATAACTAAAAGCAACAGGAAATAATTCTCATCTGTGAACGTGCAAATGAATTCTGTCCAGTAGAGGGACCATCCTTCTTCCTTGTGGTAAAAACACTTGAAAGGGAGTTTCTTTTGGATACAATTCTTGGTTGACTTTTATCTTCTACTGTCTCCTGACTTTCATTGTGTTGAGATATCTGCCTTTGATTTAGTAATCATTTCTTTGTAGGTAATTTTCTCTTTTTTCTTTTTTTAACTGGCTATGTTTAGATTTTATTTTTGTGTGTTCTTCAGTTTCACTATGTGAAAGTGTGGATTTCTTTGATTTTCTCCAACTTGGTATTTGTTGAGATACTTGAATTTGAGGATTGGTATCTTACATCACTTTGGAAAATGACCAGCCACTTCCTTTGAATATTAAGTCTTCTCCAACTTCAGTTAGATATTTATTAAACTAATGTTTCTCAACAAAAGTACTATTGTAAATTTGGATAGGAGATTCTTTATTGTGTGAGACTGTTCCTTGCATTATAGGGCATTTTACATTCTTGGTTCCCAGACACTAAATGTTATTATTGTGATGCAAGTGCCTCAGACATACCCAAATACCCCTAAAACTAAGTATCTCTGCTTGGGGACCACTGTGATAAATCTTCACTCTTTCATCTAAGTCTTTTCACCTTCGTAGTTTTAATCTTTATGCCTCTCTGTGCTGAATTATAAGTAATTTATTAAGCTGTGTTTTCTGTCTCTGGTTTTCTCTTCAGCTGTGTCTAATGATCTGTTTAACCTTTCTGTTGGGTTTTAAAAGTCAGTTATTTTTCATTTCTAGACATTCTAGAAATTTGCTTCTTTTGTAAATGTATTTAGTAATCATTGATAACCTTGTGTTCCTTTGTCATATTTATATTGGCTTCTTTTATTTCTTTATACATATATTAACCTTTTTATATTTCTATATGTCATTGAACCCAAGACATCATTGATTATAAGAAATATCACTCATTCATTTATCACTAAGAAAGATAAAAGACTCTGTATGACAGACAAGTAACCTTACAGTACCTCTCTGTAAATAAATATATTTTCTTTTTCATTCAATATCTTGAGGGCATGGACAGACTCTTACCCATTTTTGGAAACTGATCAAACATCTAGCACTTTTTCTTCAGATTCCCCTGTAATCTGAATTAAGGCTTACATTTTTTTAAGGCTTACATTTTAAGACTGTAGTGGGAGAAACCAGAGAGATTATGACTCTCACAGAATTCAAAATTCAAAGGGAAACTTGGTTCAGATACAAAATAAGATTTCAATTGCACAAGTTATTTTTATAATTTCTTTAATTCTATTTTGTCCATCCATGATCATCTTTGTGTTTGCAAGTCAACACATCAGATATGGATGACAGGATGAATGACATTGCCATATTATTGTCAGAAGGATATGTACTTTCAATTGTGTGTCTAGAGGTGGTACTTTCAATTGTGTGTCTAGAGGTGGTAATGATTTGCTCTGAGTAATACACATTTCCTAGCCTAAGTCAACCTACCAACCCATGGTGTACATTTATAGGACGATAGGGAGATTTAGATATAGTCTGTGGTTATGATGATGGAATAAAGATAAGTGGCCTACATATGACTAAAACCTGTTCTCTGGCCTCAGTCAAGACCCAGTGGTCCTTCCTTGATGACACAGCCCCAAGTGGGCTCTCTCTGGTGCCGCTGAAAGCCTGGAAGATGGGCTGTATCTCCCATTTGATCATAATCCTGGATGTTTGCCCTCAAGTCCTTACTTCCGGGATCATTTTACTCCTGCCCAACCTCAGGACCCCTGGCAACCTCAGCAGCTGGCACAACCAGCTCTCCTCCTCGTACTTCCTCAGTGCCAGGGGACACTTAGCATTACTCTCTCAAGGTGAACAGAGTACTCCAGGGAGAAGGTAAGATACACGTCCACTCATTCCTTCTACCGCCATTTTTCTTTCTTTTCCTCTCCCTGCAGCGTCCCTGTGGTCTGCTGCCACCATCGCCACACCTGTAGCTGCAACTCGTATGGCTGTGGGTTGGGGAAGGGCTGTTGCCAGCAGAAGAGCTGCTGCCTGAAGCACTGCTGCTGCTAGGTGGCCTGGCCCGGCCCTGCTTCTGGGGTAAGAGATGCTGGAAGCTGTTCTCTGCAGTTAAGGAGACTTCCCTTCCTCTTCCCACTTGCTGTCACCTGGATCTCCTGGGACTTACTCTTTTGGACAATATCTCTGGTTTTTTTTTTTTTTTGCAGTACGCGGGCCTCTCACTGTTGTGGCCTCTCCCGTTGCGGAGCACAGGCTCCGGATGCGCAGACTCAGCGGCCATGGCTCACGGGCCCAGCCGCTCCGCGGCATGTGGGATCTTCCCGGACCGGGGCACGAACCCGTGTCCCCCGCATCGGCAGGCGCACTCTCAACCACTGCACCACCAGGGGAGCCCAATATCTCTGGTTTTTGAACTCTGTGCTCCTCTCTTTCAAAATGATGGTCTTAAACCTTTTTATTTGAAAAACATTCCAAACAAACAAGAAATGGTTTGAAAAAAATTCCAAACAAACAAGAAATGGCCATTACAGAGCTGTAAACCCAGCCAAAGGGATCACAGTTCTGAGTGTTCTATCTGATGGGTGTTTTGCAGCCTTCCAACTTGGTACTTCTACCTCTCTGTGCGCACACTATGTCTCTTACTCTTACCTGCTCTAGTCCTATTACTATTGTTTCCAGTCATCACATAGCTCCTGCCTAAATTTCCTAATAAAACATGAAAACCGACCCTCAGGAATTCTGCTTTTATTCTGCTATGGCAACAACAGATTTCCATCTTCTTGAAAAATTTGAATGACCCACATGCAGAGACAGCAATGCACGCACAGGGCTTCTGGGGTCCAGGCCTCCCAGCCACACGCCATTTTCCCATCTCATGAGATGGATGATTCCGTAAGATAATTCAACTCCTGCTACCTTGTGTACTTCTTCCCTAAAGGCCCTGTGACCCTGCTTATCTGTCAAAAGTGCATCACATTCCTCCAGTGACAACTTTCTCAACCAGATCTACAGATTTCACCTATGTCAAGGCCTAAATATAGGCAAAGGGCAAGTCTAAACAAGCTAGAACTATCACCTTATTTATTTCTTCTCAGAAATGGCTATTGTCTTGCCATTTCTATCCCCTTATTTCTGTTATTTGTCTATGAGTTCTGTTTCTGTTGTTGTTTCTGAGTCATTCTATGTACAAAACAAAACATTTAAAATATTTCTCCATAAGGTGTTCTTACCAGTCACAAAACACTACACCTTACAAAGCAAACCTATGTTTTAATTCAAAGGAGTAATAATCTTTCTCTTTAATGAGATACCAAATAAAAATTTTTATTTAAAAAATATTTGATGTTTTTCTTCTGTGTTTGTTCCTTTTAATTATAAATGCACATTTATTTTTCCATGCATATTGCCAAAAATGTAAAAACATCAGAATGGTTACATATAAAAAACTAAAAAATTCTAGCTCCTTATTCTCCAATGTTAATTTATTTCCCAAGACTTTAAACGCGTTTTTGAAAATTAATATTTTAATTTGGGGATGGGTAATTTATATGGTGTGAACATCAAAAACCATGATGAGATGACATCTCCCTCCATTTTCCATTACCCCACAACAGGGAATTATTATTATTAGGTGTTTGGTTTTTTCTTTTGGTATTTCCAGAAAACTTGTATATGTATATAAGCCAATATAGATATTTTCTCCTTACTTTTACACAAATGATGAGCTATTGCATTCATTATTATTTTGGCATTTGACTTTTCTCCACTTAATAATAATAATAAATTTTTATTATTTACTTAATAATAATAATATATTTTAGAGCCCTTTATCACTATGAAAAGATATTCCTCATTTTTTAATCTAGTTAATATTATTACAAGTGAATATACTGGTGTCCCATAATACAGCTTCCCTGTCCCCATTTAATGAAATTTGAATAGTTTCCAATACTTTGTGTTTAGAAACTTTACTGTAATGAAAAACCTTTTAAACAAATCAGTTCTCAGGCATGCAAGTATATCAGAAGTATATATTTCTATCAGAGAAATCTGTAGGTGGAAAGGCATACACATTTCTAATCTTAAGAATGCTGAATTTTCCCTTGTAGCAATGAAATTAATGTACACTCCCACCAAGAATCTTCGAGACTGACTGTTGACTCATTCCGAGAAAACAAATTCTGTCATCACACATTTAGATTATTTTCTACTCTGACAGGTGAAAAACAGTGTTTCGTTGTTTTTTTTTTTTTTTTTTATACATTACAGTTGGGTTTTTTTGTTTTTTTTTTTTGCCATACACGGGCCTCTCACTTTTGTGGCCTCTCCCGTTGCGGAGCACAGGCTCTGGACGCGCAGGCTCAGCGGCCATGGCTCACGGGCCTAGGTGCTCCGCGGCATGTGGGATCTTCCCAGACCGGGGGACGAACCCATGTCCCCTGCATCAGCAGGCAGACTCTCAATCACTGCGCCACCAGAGAAGCCCTACAGTTTTTTTTTTTTTTAAATAGATCTTTATTGGAGTATAATTGCTTCACAATACCATGTTAGTTCCTTTTGCACAACAAAGCAAATCAGCCATATGCATACACGTGACCTCATATCTCCTCTCTCTTGAGCCTCCCTCCCATCCTCCTTATCCCACCCCTCTAGGTCATCGCAAAGCACTGAGCTGATCTCCCTGTGCTACGCTGCTGCTTCCCACCAGCCAACTATTTTACATTCCGTAGTGTATATATATGTCAATGCTACTCTCACGTCGCCCCAGCTTTGCCCACCCACCCCATGTCATCAAGTCCATTCTCTATGTTTCCCACTTTATTCCTGCCCTGCAACTAGGTTCATTAGTACCATTCTTTTTTTTTTTTTTTTTTTTAAGATTCCATATATATGTTTTAGCATAAGGTATTTGTTTTTCTCTTTCTGACTTCACTCTGTATGACAGACTTTAGGTCCATCCACCTCACTACAAATAACTCAGTTTTGTTTCTTTTTATGGCTGAGTAATATTCCATTGTATATATGTATCACATCTTCTTTATCCATTCATCTGTCGATGGACATTTAGGTTGCTTCCGTGTCCTGGCTATTGTAAATAGTGCTGCAATGAACATTGTGGTGCATGTCTCTTTATGAATTATGGTTTTCTCAGGGTATATGCCCAGTAGTGGGATTGCTGTGTCATATGGTAGCTCTATTTTTAGTTTTTTAAGGAACCTCCATACTGTTCTCCATAGTGGCTGTGTCAATTTACATTCCCACCAACAGTGCAGGAGGGTTCCCTTTTCACCACACCCTTTCCAGCATTTATTGTTTCTAGCTTTTTTGATAATGGCCATTCTGACCGGCATGAGGTGATACCTCATTGTAGTTTTGATTTGCATTTCTCTAATAATTAGTGATGTTGAGCATCTTTTCATGACCCTCTTGGTCATCTCTATGTCTTCCTTGGTGAAATGTCTATTTAGGTCTTCTGCCCATTTATTAACTGGATTGTTTGTTTTTTTGATATTGAGCTCCACGAGCTGTTTGTATATTTTGGGGATTGATCCTTTGTCTGTTTTTTCATTTGCAAATATTTTCTCCCATTCTGAGGGTGGTCTTTCTGTTTTGTTTATGGTTTCCTTTGCTGTGCAAAAGCTTTTAAGTTTAATTAAGTCCCATTTGTTTATTTTTGTTTTTATTTCTGTTACTCTAGAAGGTGGGTCAAAAAAGATCTTGCTGTGGTTTATGTCAAATAGTGTTTTTCCTATTTTTTCCTCTAAAAGTTTTGTAGTGTCTGGTCTTACATTTAAGTCTTAATCCACTTGGAGTTTATTTTTGTGTATGGTGTTAGGGAGTGTTCTAATTTCATACTTCTATAAGTAGCTGTCCAGTTTTCCCAGCACCACTTATTGAAGAAGCTGTCTTTTCTCCATTGTATGTTCTTGCCTCCTTTGTTATAAATTAGGTGCCAATATGTGCGTGGGTTTATCTCTGGGCATTCTATCCTGTACCACTGGTCTATATTTCTGTTTTTGTGCCAGTACCATACTGTCTTGATTATGGTAACTTTGTGGTATAGTTCGAAGTCAGGGAGCGTGATTCCTCCAACTCCGTTTTTCTTTCTCAAGATTGCTTTGGCTATTTGGGATCTTTTGTGTTTCCATATGAATTGTAAGATTTTTAAATTCTAATTCTGTGAAGAATGCCATTGGTAGTTTGATAGGGATTGCATTGAATCTGTAGATTGCTTTGGATACTATAGTCATTTTCACAATGTTGATTCTTCCAATCCAGGAGCATGGTATATTTCTCCATCTGTTTATGTCATCTTTGATTTCTTTCATCAGTGTTTTATAGTTTTCTGAGTACAAGTCTTTCACATCCTTAGGCAGGTTTATTCCTAGGTATCTTATTCTTTTTGTTGCAGTGGTAAATGGGAGTGTTTCCTTAATTTCTCTTTCTGATTTTTTGTTGTTGGTGTATAGGAATGCCAGAGGTTTCTGTGCATTAATTTTGTATTCTGCAACCTTACCAAATTCATTGATTAGTTCTAGTAGCTTTCTGGTGGTATCTTTAGGATTTTCTATGTATAGTATCATGTCATCGCCAAACAGTGACAGTTTTACTTCTCTTCCAATTTGTATTCCTTTATTTCTTTTTCTTCTCTGATTGCTGTGGGCTAGGACTTCCAAAACTATGTTGAATAAGAGTGACGAGAGTGGACGCCTTTGTCTTGTTCCTGATCTTAGTGGAAATGCTTTCAGTTTTTCACCATTGAGTATGATGCTTGCTGTAGGTTTGTCATATATGGCCTTTATTATGTTGAGGTAGGTTCCCTTTATGCCCATTTTCTGGAGAGTTTTTGTCATAAATAGGTGTTGAATTTTGTCAAGAGCTTTTTCTGCATCTTGGTTTTTATTCCTTAATTTGTTAATGTGCTGTATCACTTTGATTGATTTGCGTATACTGAAGAATCCTTGCATCCCTGGGATAAATCCCACTTGATCATAGTGTATGATCCTTTCAAAGTGCTGTTGGATTCTGTTTGCTAGTATTTTGTTCAGGATTTTTGCAACTATTTTCATCAGTGATATTGGTCTATAATTTTCTTTTTTTTGTGATACCTTTTTCTGGTTTTGGTATCAGGGTGATGGGGGCTTCATAGAATGAATTTGGGAGTGTTTCTCCCTCTGCAATTTTTTGGAAGAGTTTGATAAGGATCGGTGTTAGCTCTTCTCTAAATGTTTG